AATGGAATGAATACCTAAATATGGCCATTTTTTTTAAAGCATCGGTGGCTTAGTGGTAGAATGCTCGCCTGCCACGCGGGCGGCCCGGGTTCGATTCCCGGCCGATGCATTTTTTTTTTACAATTTTTAAAACTAATTTATAAAAAATATAATATAAATATATACTATTATATCAACTATATATGAATTAAATCAAATACCTAAACAATAATCTCTATATATATAAAAGTCAATTTCTGTCTGTCTGTTTCGCGATAAACTCAAAAACTACTGAACCAATTGGTACCAAATTTTGCATGTCGCTTTTTATAAACCTGAGGAAAATTTTTGGATACAATTTGCTTAGTATTTTTGGCTATTTCTTTTTTTCATTTGAAGAACTTTTTTTTTACGCGGAGTAATCCGGAATGGAATGAATACCCAAATATGGCCTTTTTGTATACGCATCGGTGGCTCAGTGGTAGAATCTCGCCTGCCACGCGGGCGGCCCGGGTTCGATTCCCGGCCGATGCATTTTTTTTAAACAATTTTTAAAAAACTCATTTATATTATATCTTCTATATATGTAAAAATGAATGTTTGTATGTTTATTTGTTTGTTTGTTGGTTTGTATGTCCGGTATACAAATTCGCAGTAGTTCACTAATTCAAACCAAAATTTCCATACATAGGTAAAAAAATACGAGGAAAACGATAGGCTATTTTAAATTATATATAAATTAAATATTAAAACTATATATTCAAATTATTCTACTTAGCTCACGAACAGCGCCCTCTATCAAGGTTATAAATACGTTTAAAATCGAAATCTTCTCAAAATTTTATTAATAATAGTTCGCTTAATAATTAGAATACTTGATCTAAATCGAAATATTTATAGACGCTCGCTCGATTTGAAGATTTATATCGTAACTAATCTGACTGTAAAGTTTGGAGCGAGTGACATCCACGGCGCCAATTTATAATTGTAACGAATAGTGTTTGAATAAAACATTTAATCGGGTAAACCCGGGCGTTGCCCGGGTCATTCGTCTAGTCTCCTATATTCGAGAGTGGACGAAGAGAGAGAGAGAGAGAGATCATAGTTCACTTTCCAGCCGCTAGGAGGTGTTGGCAGCCATTAGTCTGATGTCCATCCATTTTGGTGACAAATTTGGAGCAGCAGACATTCCGGAGATAGTTTGGCACTCTTGCTTCATCCATCCAACCTTCTTGCACGTCTTTTTACTTCCACCCGGGCCTATATACCCATCATTTACATATTTACTGTAATATTTTATATATATGTTATATAAAAATATTATTTTATTTAAAATTATATTTCATAAATTCAAATACCCTTTTAAATCGACCACCAGAGGTCATGCTTCCCCTATAAAAACTAATTGTTGTTGTTTCCAAATGGCCGGCTCAAATCTTTTGTACATTATGTAAATAAGTTTTTCATTTTCCAGATTCTTAAGCCAGGCATTACTTTTATCAAATTATTTTTTATGTATATATTCCTTAGCTCACTTAAAGAAATCTCTGATAAAGACTATTATTATTATTGCCACGACTGCATAAAAATATCGTAAAATAATCATATATACAAAAATCAAGCAACACCTAATAATTCTCTTACTCTAATATTTCAAATAAGCAGGAAAATATTTTTATTTATAATATACTAGCGGACGTACCCGGCTTCGCCCGAGGTTTTACCCGAGTAAAGGTTTGTCTAACGAACATTTGTTAAAACAATTCTCTATAAACTTATAAAAAAAAGATATATTTTGATAATTTGAAACTCGTAAATTTGAATATAAAGTATAGATAAAGTGAACATTTGTTCCCGGTCCCTGTGTGCCGTGTCATCCTGAATTTTGTCTTTCATAATTTTCTACATTACAAAATCATCGTTTTATCTAGTGAACATATTTTCCCGGTCCCTTGAAAAATACTCGATAAGTTGAATAAAGTCATGGTCGTGAATCTCTCGATAAAGTGATTATTATTTCCCGGTCTCCGTGTGCCGTGTCATCCTGAATTTTGTCTTTCCTAATTTTCTACATTGCAAAATCATCGTTTAATCTAGTGAACATATTTTCCCGGTCCCTTGATAAATACTCGATAAGTTGAATAAAATCATGGTCGTTTATGGAAGATGGACGTAGTTACCGGAGGTCACCCGCCCCCCGCGCGCCAGGACCTCTTGATCACTCTGATTGGCCGGCGGCCGGACGGGGGGGGGGGGGGGGGGGGGGGGGGGGGGGGGGGAGGGGGGGGAGGGGGCTCTTGATCCCTTTGATTGGTCGGTGGGAACTTGGACTGTCCAACCAACTGGCCAGCGGGCGGCCGGGGGGGAGGGGCAGATCTCCGTTGCAAGATGGCGTTGCTTGCGGGTTAAGGCTACAAATCTGCAAATAACTCTAAGGATATTAAAGATATTCAAGAAATTAATATTCTGAGGAGGATCGGTCGTCGCCCATTCTTCGTTATCAGAAATATCCTCAAAGGCGGTATCCAAAAGGGTAGTATCCACGGGATCCATAGCAGGAGCACACTGCCGCACCATGGTCAACGTCGGTGTTTATAACTAACGCCACCTGACGTCATTCAAACCGGTTCCGTTTCCTGTCGGGGAAAACTTTCCTCCTCCGACCGACACGACGACACGACAAGGTCATCGGTTCAAGGTTAAATAGCTTAGCGAAAGGGGTCTTTCGTAACATGCTAATGCATGTACTCATTAATTAGTAATTAATTTTAATTACTTTTGGTTATTGCGAACTTGGTGCTTGTCGCTGCCTTTGGCAGATCCTCCAACCACGCGACACCGGGCTCGCCGTGACGTGTGCTTGGCAAATTGCTTCTGTCGCTTAGGGATGGGGTAACGGGTATATCTTCGGAAACAACGGGTTATACGGCTACCGCTACGACCATCTGGGACGCTCGGCATCCGGGCTCTTCCGCCTGCGACGGGCCTCCTTCGGTAGCGGCCCTAACGATGACGCAAGTGTGACGTGACGGTCACGTGATCACATATGAATTTATTAGATGGAGGTTAAAAAATATATATATAAGAATATGTGTTGATGTGTTCACGTGACCGTGACGTCACAATATACGTCATCGTTAGGGCGGCTATCCTCCGTCGGCCCTGCGGCTACGGGCCCGGACGCCTCGTCATCCCAGGTAGGTCGTTTCGCTTTAGCCGATTAACCACGTTGTCTTTCCTTCGATTAACCCTTGTACCCCCCCCCCCCCCTGCTCATCGCTCCTTTGCCAAGCACGCGTCACAGCTCGCCTCAGCCGCGTTGGTTGGAGGATCTGCCAAAGGCAGCGACAAGCACCAAGTTCGCAATAACCAAAAGTAATTAAAATTAATGACTAATTAATGAGTACATGCATTAGCATGTTACGAAAGACCCCTTTCGCTAAGCTATTTAACCTTGAACCGATGACCTTGTCGTGTCGTCGTGTCGGTCGGAGGAGGAAAGTTTCCCCGACAGGAAACGGAACCGGTTTGAATGACGTCAGGTGGCGTTAGTTATAAACACCGACGCTGACCATGGTGCGGCAGTGTGCTCCTGCTATGGATCCCGTGGATACTACCCTTTTGGATACCGCCTTTGAGGATATTTCTGATAACGAAGAATGGGCGACGACCGATCCTCCTCAGCACGAGAAGACCCCAGAACATGTCACTTGCTCACCGGACCTGATGACGAACGCACTATCGAAGAAATTATTGGCGACGTCATCGTTGAAACGCTCGACAGAGGCTGGACTGACAGACGCTCCGAAAAAGAAACGGATCCCGACTACGATTTTGGAGAAGGAGAAGAACCCCTTAACCTCGACGAACTTACTACCAGAATTCTCGCTGACTATGGAGACACCTTCGACCAGCGACAGTTCGCAGCAGCAGCCGCCACGGCCATCGATGACGTCTTCCCCGAATAACTCCGGACCTAGCGAAATTCTACGAACAACTTTGGAGGGAGGAAGTGACGCAGAATCGTTCCAATGCTCGGCAGCTAACCGAGGTAAGTGGGACAAGAACTGTTCGCGTATCAGGCCTATCCAAGCTTGGAAGTGCGCTTATCAAAGCTCTAGTGGAAGGATTGGCGGAAGGGCTATTGCTAATTTTAGATTAAATAGACTCATGTTTGACTTTATTCATTACTAATCTTTATCTCTTTGCAGAAACTGAAACTCTTCCTTCCCTTCCTTCAACATCGACGGCTACAGACCATGCACCTACTAACCAAATGCCTAATTCAGATCACCCAAATGTTCGCTCGCGAAAAGATTTCTCCGTTGCTAAAGAGCGCTTGGAAACGCTTATCCGAAAAAGCAGTTTTCGACCCAGAATATTGCACGACATCATTCCCTGCAGTAACGATCACGAGATGGCGGAAAATTTGGACATCCTTCAAAGATGGTTTAGCGAACAAAAAAAGCAGCAAACCTCTAGACGCCTCGATTCCTCAGGAACGCTCGCCGCCTTTGCGTACCACTCCGATGGAAACGGACGAGGACACTATCATGTGATCCACGACTGCTCCTACGGAAACAGCACCTGCAGGTGCGCTGGGCTTCGCGGCCTCATTATTAAACGCCGCCAAAGACGGGCCACTTGGGCAGCGAGCGAACATTTTTTTGAATCCCAATTCCCTGAGATTGCCATCATTTACAACTGCATCACGTAAATGGATGTACTCCTCAGAACGCTAGTTTCAGAACATCTTTTCGCGAGCGAACATTTGGGTGATCTGAATTAGGCATTTGGTTAGTAGGTGCATGGTCTGTAGCCGTCGATGTTGAAGGAAGGGAAGGAAGAGTTTCAGTTTCTGCAAAGAGATAAAGATTAGTAATGAATAAAGTCAAACATGAGTCTATTTAATCTAAAATTAGCAATAGCCCTTCCGCCAATCCTTCCACTAGAGCTTTGATAAGCGCACTTCCAAGCTTGGATAGGCCTGATACGCGAACAGTTCTTGTCCCACTTACCTCGGTTAGCTGCCGAGCATTGGAACGATTCTGCGTCACTTCCTCCCTCCAAAGTTGTTCGTAGAATTTCTCTAGGTCCGGAGTTATTCGGGGAAGACGTCATCGATGGCCGTGGCGGCTGCTGCTGCGAACTGTCGCTGGTCGAAGGTGTCTCCATAGTCAGCGAGAATTCTGGTAGTAAGTTCGTCGAGGTTAAGGGGTTCTTCTCCTTCTCCAAAATCGTAGTCGGGATCCGTTTCTTTTTCGGAGCGTCTGTCAGTCCAGCCTCTGTCGAGCGTTTCAACGATGACGTCGCCAATAATTTCTTCGATAGTGCGTTCGTCATCAGGTCCGGTGAGCAAGTGACATGTTCTGGGGTCTTCTCGTGCTGAGGAGGATCGGTCGTCGCCCATTCTTCGTTATCAGAAATATCCTCAAAGGCGGTATCCAAAAGGGTAGTATCCACGGGATCCATAGCAGGAGCACACTGCCGCACCATGGTCAACGTCGGTGTTTATAACTAACGCCACCTGACGTCATTCAAACCGGTTCCGTTTCCTGTCGGGGAAAACTTTCCTCCTCCGACCGACACGACGACACGACAAGGTCATCGGTTCAAGGTTAAATAGCTTAGCGAAAGGGGTCTTTCGTAACATGCTAATGCATGTACTCATTAATTAGTAATTAATTTTAATTACTTTTGGTTATTGCGAACTTGGTGCTTGTCGCTGCCTTTGGCAGATCCTCCAACCACGCGACACCGGGCTCGCCGTGACGTGTGCTTGGCAAATTGCTTCTGTCGCTTAGGGATGGGGTAACGGGTATATCTTCGGAAACAACGGGTTATACGGCTACCGCTACGACCATCTGGGACGCTCGGCATCCGGGCTCTTCCGCCTGCGACGGGCCTCCTTCGGTAGCGGCCCTAACGATGACGCAAGTGTGACGTGACGGTCACGTGATCACATATGAATTTATTAGATGGAGGTTAAAAAAAAATATATAAGAATATGTGTTGATGTGTTCACGTGACCGTGACGTCACAATATACGTCATCGTTAGGGCGGCTATCCTCCGTCGGCCCTGCGGCTACGGGCCCGGACGCCTCGTCATCCCAGGTAGGTCGTTTCGCTTTAGCCGATTAACCACGTTGTCTTTCCTTCGATTAACCCTTGTACCCCCCCCCCTGCTCATCGCTCCTTTGCCAAGCACGCGTCACAGCTCGCCTCAGCCGCGTTGGTTGGAGGATCTGCCAAAGGCAGCGACAAGCACCAAGTTCGCAATAACCAAAAGTAATTAAAATTAATGACTAATTAATGAGTACATGCATTAGCATGTTACGAAAGACCCCTTTCGCTAAGCTATTTAACCTTGAACCGATGACCTTGTCGTGTCGTCGTGTCGGTCGGAGGAGGAAAGTTTTCCCCGACAGGAAACGGAACCGGTTTGAATGACGTCAGGTGGCGTTAGTTATAAACACCGACGTTGACCATGGTGCGGCAGTGTGCTCCTGCTATGGATCCCGTGGATACTACCCTTTTGGATACCGCCTTTGAGGATATTTCTGATAACGAAGAATGGGCGACGACCGATCCTCCTCAGCACGAGAAGACCCCAGAACATGTCACTTGCTCACCGGACCTGATGACGAACGCACTATCGAAGAAATCATTGGCGACGTCATCGTTGAAACGCTCGATAGAGGCTGGACTGACAGACGCTCCGAAAAAGAAACGGATCCCGACTACGATTTTGGAGAAGGAGAAGAACCCCTTAACCTCGACGAACTTACTACCAGAATTCTCGCTGACTATGGAGACACCTTCGACCAGCGACAGTTCGCAGCAGCAGCCGCCACGGCCATCGATGACGTCTTCCCCGAATAACTCCGGACCTAGCGAAATTCTACGAACAACTTTGGAGGGAGGAAGTGACGCAGAATCGTTCCAATGCTCGGCAGCTAACCGAGGTAAGTGGGACAAGAACTGTTCGCGTATCAGGCCTATCCAAGCTTGGAAGTGCGCTTATCAAAGCTCTAGTGGAAGGATTGGCGGAAGGGCTATTGCTAATTTTAGATTAAATAGACTCATGTTTGACTTTATTCATTACTAATCTTTATCTCTTTGCAGAAACTGAAACTCTTCCTTCCCTTCCTTCAACATCGACGGCTACAGACCATGCACCTACTAACCAAATGCCTAATTCAGATCACCCAAATGTTCGCTCGCGAAAAGATTTCTCCGTTGCTAAAGAGCGCTTGGAAACGCTTATCCGAAAAAGCAGTTTTCGACCCAGAATATTGCACGACATCATTCCCTGCAGTAACGATCACGAGATGGCGGAAAATTTGGACATCCTTCAAAGATGGTTTAGCGAACAAAAAAAGCAGCAAACCTCTAGACGCCTCGATTCCTCAGGAACGCTCGCCGCCTTTGCGTACCACTCCGATGGAAACGGACGAGGACACTATCATGTGATCCACGACTGCTCCTACGGAAACAGCACCTGCAGGTGCGCTGGGCTTCGCGGCCTCATTATTAAACGCCGCCAAAGACGGGCCACTTGGGCAGCGAGCGAACATTTTTTTGAATCCCAATTCCCTGAGATTGCCATCATTTACAACTGCATCACGTAAATGGATGTACTCCTCAGAACGCTAGTTTCAGAACATCTTTTCGCGAGCGAACATTTGGGTGATCTGAATTAGGCATTTGGTTAGTAGGTGCATGGTCTGTAGCCGTCGATGTTGAAGGAAGGGAAGGAAGAGTTTCAGTTTCTGCAAAGAGATAAAGATTAGTAATGAATAAAGTCAAACATGAGTCTATTTAATCTAAAATTAGCAATAGCCCTTCCGCCAATCCTTCCACTAGAGCTTTGATAAGCGCACTTCCAAGCTTGGATAGGCCTGATACGCGAACAGTTCTTGTCCCACTTACCTCGGTTAGCTGCCGAGCATTGGAACGATTCTGCGTCACTTCCTCCCTCCAAAGTTGTTCGTAGAATTTCGCTAGGTCCGGAGTTATTCGGGGAAGACGTCATCGATGGCCGTGGCGGCTGCTGCTGCGAACTGTCGCTGGTCGAAGGTGTCTCCATAGTCAGCGAGAATTCTGGTAGTAAGTTCGTCGAGGTTAAGGGGTTCTTCTCCTTCTCCAAAATCGTAGTCGGGATCCGTTTCTTTTTCGGAGCGTCTGTCAGTCCAGCCTCTGTCGAGCGTTTCAACGATGACGTCGCCAATAATTTCTTCGATAGTGCGTTCGTCATCAGGTCCGGTGAGCAAGTGACATGTTCTGGGGTCTTCTCGTGCTGAGGAGGATCGGTCGTCGCCCATTCTTCGTTATCAGAAATATCCTCAAAGGCGGTATCCAAAAGGGTAGTATCCACGGGATCCATAGCAGGAGCACACTGCCGCACCATGGTCAACGTCGGTGTTTATAACTAACGCCACCTGACGTCATTCAAACCGGTTCCGTTTCCTGTCGGGGAAAACTTTCCTCCTCCGACCGACACGACGACACGACAAGGTCATCGGTTCAAGGTTAAATAGCTTAGCGAAAGGGGTCTTTCGTAACATGCTAATGCATGTACTCATTAATTAGTAATTAATTTTAATTACTTTTGGTTATTGCGAACTTGGTGCTTGTCGCTGCCTTTGGCAGATCCTCCAACCACGCGACACCGGGCTCGCCGTGACGTGTGCTTGGCAAATTGCTTCTGTCGCTTAGGGATGGGGTAACGGGTATATCTTCGGAAACAACGGGTTATACGGCTACCGCTACGACCATCTGGGACGCTCGGCATCCGGGCTCTTCCGCCTGCGACGGGCCTCCTTCGGTAGCGGCCCTAACGATGACGCAAGTGTGACGTGACGGTCACGTGATCACATATGAATTTATTAGATGGAGGTTAAAAAAAAATATATAAGAATATGTGTTGATGTGTTCACGTGACCGTGACGTCACAATATACGTCATCGTTAGGGCGGCTATCCTCCGTCGGCCCTGCGGCTACGGGCCCGGACGCCTCGTCATCCCAGGTAGGTCGTTTCGCTTTAGCCGATTAACCACGTTGTCTTTCCTTCGATTAACCCTTGTACCCCCCCCCCCTGCTCATCGCTCCTTTGCCAAGCACGCGTCACAGCTCGCCTCAGCCGCGTTGGTTGGAGGATCTGCCAAAGGCAGCGACAAGCACCAAGTTCGCAATAACCAAAAGTAATTAAAATTAATGACTAATTAATGAGTACATGCATTAGCATGTTACGAAAGACCCCTTTCGCTAAGCTATTTAACCTTGAACCGATGACCTTGTCGTGTCGTCGTGTCGGTCGGAGGAGGAAAGTTTTCCCCGACAGGAAACGGAACCGGTTTGAATGACGTCAGGTGGCGTTAGTTATAAACACCGACGCTGACCATGGTGCGGCAGTGTGCTCCTGCTATGGATCCCGTGGATACTACCCTTTTGGATACCGCCTTTGAGGATATTTCTGATAACGAAGAATGGGCGACGACCGATCCTCCTCAGCACGAGAAGACCCCAGAACATGTCACTTGCTCACCGGACCTGATGACGAACGCACTATCGAAGAAATTATTGGCGACGTCATCGTTGAAACGCTCGACAGAGGCTGGACTGACAGACGCTCCGAAAAAGAAACGGATCCCGACTACGATTTTGGAGAAGGAGAAGAACCCCTTAACCTCGACGAACTTACTACCAGAATTCTCGCTGACTATGGAGACACCTTCGACCAGCGACAGTTCGCAGCAGCAGCCGCCACGGCCATCGATGACGTCTTCCCCGAATAACTCCGGACCTAGCGAAATTCTACGAACAACTTTGGAGGGAGGAAGTGACGCAGAATCGTTCCAATGCTCGGCAGCTAACCGAGGTAAGTGGGACAAGAACTGTTCGCGTATCAGGCCTATCCAAGCTTGGAAGTGCGCTTATCAAAGCTCTAGTGGAAGGATTGGCGGAAGGGCTATTGCTAATTTTAGATTAAATAGACTCATGTTTGACTTTATTCATTACTAATCTTTATCTCTTTGCAGAAACTGAAACTCTTCCTTCCCTTCCTTCAACATCGACGGCTACAGACCATGCACCTACTAACCAAAT